GGGCCTGAGTTGGCTGGGCTGGCCTGGGGGCCGCCATGTTGGTCATTGATGGCTGGGCTAGCCCTGGGGCCGCCATGTTGGCCATCGATGGCTGGGCTAGCCCTGGGACTGCCATGTTGGTCAGGGATGGCTGGGCTAGTCCTAGGACACCTCCACTGGCTACAGATGACTCAGCTAACCCTGGGGTCCCTCCACTGGTGGTAACTGGGTGGGTAAGGCTTGGAGACTCCCTACTGGACACTGCAGACTGGGACGGGCTTGGGACAGGGGTTACTGTACTGGCCACTAATGGCTGACCTAGGGTTGGGTTCACCCCCGAGGCTCCTGCGGTATGGCTTAGGGGAAAGGCTACGCTTCCAGCCAGCGTGGGTTGAGATAGGCTTGGGGTCAAGCTGGAACCCACAGACAGCTGATTGTACGCAGCGGAGACCACCGTCCCTAAAGACAGGCTCCTCCTCAGCCCTACAGGGGAGGTCGACTGAGACCACCTGTTGGTCACATGTATGGAGCTGTGGTCTGAGGACCACATCCCCTTCCTGTGGTCTGAGCCCCAGTGGATGCTCACGGTCAAGTGGTTGGACGTGGGATTGTGGCCCACAATGGACATGGGTTCTGTAGCCATGGAGGGTTGGTGGAGAAGGTCCTGGGTTAGATGCCTATAATTCACTCTGTCCACCTCACCTGTGTCCCTGCTCAGAGCCCTCTCTATGTCCTCCCGAAAGGGGAGACAGTCTAATGGCAAGTCCCCGTCTACATGGTCGTCCCAAGACTCTTCGATCACATTGACCGTGGTCACACTGACTTCAGACGTGGCGGAACTATCGCTGTGCGTGGAACTCTGAGAATCGCTCATTTGCAAGTGGCGTCCCGTGGAACCCGGGGAGACATTTCCAGCCAAGTCATGGTTCAGAGCCTGCCACCAATGGGGCACTGGGTCCCTGAAATTGGACACTTGGTGGCCTGTCCCCAGCTCCCGGGTGACACCAGATGGAGCAGAAACAGAGTCCTGGGTTCGGGTCCTCTCCTGTCTGGGGCTGCATATCCGGGGACGGACCTGTACCAACCCAGGGTTTGGGGAGTCTCCCCTAATCTTAGACTCCCTAACTTTGCTCACTATGGTAGCCTGCAATGAACTTGGGATGACCTTCTGAGTCATAGTTTGTTCCCTCACGGAGGCCTGGTTTGGATTTAGGGCCCGAGTCCTCCGGAGTGTCTCTGGAGTGGCCTCAGTTGGCTGGTTGGGACCTCGGGTCCTTGTGGGTCGAGACACATTAGGGGATGTCTTTTGGAAGCCCGAGGACTGACACTGACAAGTAGGACCCCCCCAACTGGAGGCAGCCTGTTCGAAGTGGGAGCCCCTCATACTACTCGCACTGCCTGAGGACACCCTGTACGTCCCTGAAAGTGACCACGTGGGAGAGGCCACCCTGCTGACCACCTGTGGCTTGTGGGTGCTTGGGGATGACGTGCCATGGGGGACGGATGGCCGGCTGGCACTAGGGCCCACACCGTTGGCAACAAGCGGCTGCCATGGGCTGGCAGATGGCTGCTCCTGGGACAGCTTGGGCTTGTGGGGACCCTCACCACCCACCGTGAAGTGATCCGAAGCCAGTTTGCTCTCGACTCCTGTGGTCCGACGTGCATCGTCCTCTTTGACCCTGGAGCTCAGACACAAGTGAGCGGTGAGCTCCTTGCTGGGTCCCCCCTTCCAGGACCACGGGGGCCGCTGGTAAGGGCCAGTGATCACCCTGGTAGTCATGACAGCACCCACAGGGACCACTGATGGGCAGGGCAGCCCCCCCAGCGCGGGCCCATCCCCCATCCCCTCCAAGGACCCGGCGGGATGGCCCCTGGAGAAACCCTCCCAGCCCCGGATCTGAGCAAGCCTGACCTTGCTCATCTGCAATCTCCCGGGTCCCAGGGCCGGCCCCCATGGGGTGGACGAAACCCCCCTGCAGGCCACCTCTGCCGGGGGTGGTACGACAGTCACGGAGCTTCCCTTTGCTGCTTTCGAGGTGGCTTTGGGGAGAACGGTGCCAGTCCGCAGGGCCGTCTGGGGCAGAGACTGATTCAAGATGGCGCCCAGCTCCCCTTGGCTCAGGGCCTGACCCAGGGCCGTCTGCTCGTCCTCCGTCAGAGTTTTGGTGAGCACCTCGGCCATTTTGCTCTGCACGGTCTTGGTGAGCTCACCTCGGGACAGGGCTCGGGACAGGGCGATGCCCACTTCGCCCCAGGACAGTGCCTTGACCAACGCCATGCCCAGCAAGCCCGGAGGTAAGGCTTTGGCCAGGGTGGCTCCCAGAACCTCCTTGGACAGGGCCTGGTTCAAGGCCGCCCGGACTTCTCCTTGTGAGAGCGCTTTGGCCAACAGGGCACGGAGATCCTCTTGGGAACCTAGCACGGAGACAAGTTCGGCACACAGGGAGGCCACCTGAGAGGCCGCCACATCCTCTTGGTAAGACGTGGCCTGGCTAGGCCCCGACGGCTGGCCCCTCGCGGCCCCGTTGTCGCCCCAGGATTCGACATTGCATGTGGTGTGCCCAGCGGTCACCAGCAGAGGCACCATCAGGCCTTGGGTCTCCGAGGCTGCTGGACACGGGCCTTGGGTGGCTTTGGCCTGCACGTGGCCTTGGGACTGCCGCTGATTCAGCCTTTCTTCTGCTTTGGGGTGAGGCTGGGTGGGTCCCCTAGCCCCAGCGAGGAGCGGCTGGGACTGTGTCTTGCTGGTAAGATCGGCCAACTGGTGGGCCACATAGAAGCCTGTGGCCATATCTGTGACCAACTGGCCTTGCGATTGGGCCTTCTGAAGCCCGGTGGAGGGATGTACTTGAGACTGGGCCTTTGTCAGACACGTGAGCAGCTGAGCCAGAGACGGGGCCTTAGCGAGCTTGCTGGGTGCATGGAACTGGGACGAGGCCCGGGCTGGACACGTGCCCACATGGGCTTGCAGCGGCGCTGTGGTCAGCTCGGCAGACCGACACACCTGGGACGTGGCCAATGGGGCCCCAGGCAGAGACGTGGTCAGCTTGGCAGGTGGGTGGGCCGAGGACGAGACTGTGGGGTGCGATGTGGCCAGCTGGGCCCGCGACAGGGTCTCTGTTTGCTGGGCGACTGAACATGCCTGGGGAGACAACGTCTTATGCTGCGGTTGGGCTGTGTTGGGTCCCATGAGTGGACGCGCCTGGGACGAGGCCTTGGTTCCCGTGGCGGCCATCTGGACCTGGGGCAGACTCTTGGTCAGGCACGTGGCCATCTGGGCCTGAGGCATGGCCACGGCTGTTTCGATAGACACGGATGTCCGGGAGAGGATCTTAAGGACATCCGGCTGCACCTGCGTCTGCGTTAGAAATCTGTGGTCTCTTTCGACGACTTTGGTCCAGGACATCGGCCGGGCCATTTCTATTGTCGTGTTACTTTTTGACCCAGCCGCCATTTTGACCTGTTTCTGTGGACACGTCTTGGTTTTTTCAGTTTCCAGAGGCTTGGCTATACCCTTCGCCATGGGGCCCGGGTGGGGCGAGGGGAGCCCCTTGACCGTCTCCTCAGCCAGGAAAGAGCGAGAGGGGACTTTGGCTGTCCCCATGGCCTGCTTCGCAGTCGCTGCAGCTTTGGCCTTGGGAGTGATCGTTTGGATGGGCGATGGGGTGCTCAGAGCTCCGGGGGGTGCAGTCTTGTTCCCCACCACGGGAGGAGGCATGCAGAGGGTCCTAAGGACAGCGGCCACTGAGCGGATCTGAGCAGGCGTCTTGTTTATCATGGCGGCCAGACGCGTCTGGGGCGGGGGCTTGGCCATCGAGGTGACAGGGCACGTCTGGGATGACGTCTTACACATAGTGGCCCCCGGACACGTCTGCAGTGGGGTGGTGGTCGTGGTCGTGGTGACGGTCAGACACACCTGGGGTGACGTCTTCGCCATGGTCGATCTGGGCGCGTGTCCCTGGGACGTCTGGGGTGGCGGCTTGGTGGCGGTGGCCACCGGACGCGTCTGGGGTAGGGACTTGATCGTGGAAGCCAGCAGGCCTACCTGGGGTGGAATTTTCCCCATGATGGCTCCCAGGCGTGTCGGAGGTGGGCTATGATTGGTCATCGAGGCTGTGGGTTGTAGCTGCGTGGGGGTCTTGGCTGTTGTCATGGGTACCGGGCATGTCTTGAGTGGCGTCTTGGTCGTCATGGTTACCGGATTCATGTGGGCGGGGGTCTTGGTCACCACGGGCACTGGGTGGCTTATCTGGGTTGGGACTTTAAAGATCTCTGCTTCTGTGTGAGCCTGGGTTTGGGTCTTGACTGATCCAGGAACAGCCTGGCCAGACCTTCCGGGCGGTGGTGGCTCTGGGGACCCCAACCTGTTGCCTTTGGCGGTCACGTGCTTGGTTTTCACCGCATCTCCCTCTATGTGAACCATGCAGGCACTGCGGATGGTTCTGGTCAACACGCACGGCTGGTATTTGGCATTGAGACTCAGCGGACATGGGAATTTGAGTGCATGTGTCTGGTGTGGCAGGAAGGTGACCCCAGGGCCACCGGCAGCTCGCGGGGCCTGCGTGCTGGACTCTGGAGGGTGCTGACCTGCTGGGGGCTGCAGAACAGCCAGGCTGTCGGAGGAAGGGAACTGGGTCTCCTTGTTCACCATGAGGGGCTGGTGTGGGAGGTGTTTCTCTCCCTGGAACCGCACCTGCTGGGGAGGGTGGTAGGGAATGTCCCCCTCCTCCACGGCGCTGGGTTTTTTGGCCTTGGCTCCTGACCTGCTGGACCGGAGGATCCGTCTGGTGTGGAAACGTCTCCAGGCTTCCTGAATAGCCTTAGCGGCCATCATTTGCGACACCAGTTTCTGCCGGAGCTGGTAACCCCTCCAGTTGGCCTGGATGAGGGTGGCCGCTCGGGAGTGCATCATGTCCATCTCGTCCACCAGAATGTTCTTGAAGGCCTGGCTCTCCACCACGGCCCGGAGGCGGGGGATACGGCGGGGCAATGGTTTGTCCGTGGCCGGCTGTGGCGGAAGACGCTCCTTGGACTTAGGGAGCTCGTGTCGGGGCTGTGGGATCGGGGTCTCCGTTTTGTTTGGGAGACTCGGGGCGAGCTGGGGCTGGAAGAAGTTCCGCCCGCAGGATGACAGTTGGTTGGTGAAGTGGAACTGTGTTGCTGGCTGCATCGTCCTGGTCCCTGAGCGGGTCAGCTCTGTCTGCAGGAGGGTGGGGAGCAGGGAGTTGGGGGGTCACATACACAAGAGGTCTCCCGGCTGGGGCAGATGCTCACTCTGAGCCCCAAAACCTCCTGTTCCTGTACCTTCCAATTGTCCTCCTTCATTTTCCCATTCCCCTGTCACCTGGTCGCCTGCCCAGGGCTTAAATAAAATGAAATAAATAATTCCCTTTTTTTAAAAAAAAAAAAGAATTATTCATTTCATTTTATTTATTCCTTCATTTATTTTAATTTGACCAGAGAGAGACACAGAGAGAGAGAGAGAAAGGGAAAGTGAGAAAGCAAGCCACCAGGTCTGGGACTCGAACCGTGCTTGGCCACATGGGAGAGTCCAGCACCTTAACCACCACGCCACCTGCTGGTCCCAAATAAATCATTCTTAAAAAAAAAAAAGATGCATGGATGAGTGGGCTTTGGTACCCACATCGCCCTCCCTCGTTCCCTTATCCTGTAAACCTTTTTTTAAAATCGATTCTTTTTTTTAGAGAGAGATTTTTGCTATAGGGCATGTGTGCTTGCTGGGGACACAGAGAGACAGAGAGACAGAGAGAGAGGAAGTGAGAAATCATCCGCCCCTTTGGGGGGGTGGCCACACCACAGTCCCTTCTCCTTCATTCTCCTCTTGGGATTTTGGGCACACGTGTGCATGCACCCGGCGTGAGTTTCAAGCTGCCGGGTCTGGGACGTGAACCATAGTCGGCCATGTTGGAGTGCAGAACTGTAAACACTATGCCATCTGCTCTCCCCGTCCTGCAGACGCTTCCATGTTTGCTCACAGGCCAGGATGTCATGCCAGTGCCCGACTACCTGCCTGCCTGCAATGTTCTCTGTACCTGAATATATTCAAGGTAAAGAACCGATTACACTATTTGGGAATTTTCAGGGTGTGAGAGTGTGTGTGTGTGTGTGTGTGTGTGTGTGT